GCATTACAAGTAACGCGAGTTACGTAATCAGATTACTTTTTTTAAGTAACTAGTAAAGTAGCGCATTACTTTTTAATTTAGAAGGAAATATCTGAGTTACTTTTTCAAATAAGTAACTCCAGTTACTTTGTTTCCATGTATTGACTGACAGCTTTGGTGTTGCCATGTTGAGAGAAATCAGGAGTAAGTGCAGAGCGTTGTGTGTGAACATGATCTTACTGTAGTTCTAGACTAAATATCAACATGTGTTTACTCATCTCACTGCACACAAACACATTCAGTGTTCCTCACAATCAATAAAAAACAGTCAAATGCAAACTCAGAATATTATACAAACCTGCAATAATTAAATATGTTAAATAAGACAAATATTATGTATTTAATCCCATTTTATTAACCAATGTCTTTGCTGCTGACCTTCGATGATCCAATTCAACCGTACTAAGAAGACATTTGTGTTTCATTTTAGTTATTGCTGAATAGTGTTGAACTTTCTTCTCCTGCGTCATATTCTTCATGAGATTTGTTTGAGCGTCGCCCTCTACTGTACAGACGTGAATTTACATTTCCTTCAGCCTGAGGTGTATTCGTTTCACTTTTGTTGTAAAAGGGCTTTTACGTTTGTAAAAGAATAACTTTTTTATATTAAAAACAAACAAGCAAGACCTGCCCAGATTTAAAAAGTAACTCAAAAGTAACAAAACGCATTACTTTCCATAAAAAGTAACTAAGTTACATAATTCGTTATTTTTAGGGAGTAACGCAATATTGTAATGCATTACTTTTAAAAGTAACTTCCCCCAACACTGCGTGTTGTTGTCTCTCTCTCTCAGAGCCCATGCATGAACCGCAGCAGCTGAAGGTGGTGGACATCAAGGCTCGTCAGGTGACGCTTCGCTGGGAGCCGCTGGGCTACAACGTGACACGCTGCCACAACTACAGCCTGACGGTGCAGTACCGCGCCAGAGGAGGAGGCAAGGAGGAGAGCAGGGAGGAGGCGGCACACGGCAGCCAGCACACCATCCACAACCTCTCGCCCTTCACCAACCTCAGCGTCAGGATGCTGCTGCGCAACCGTGAGGGAGTCAAAGAGAGCCCCGAGATCCACGTCCAGACCGATGAAGACGGTGAGACCGAGAGAGAGCGGAATCTATCTATTCATCCATCCATCCTCTATATCTATCCATCTTTCTATCCATCCATCCATCCATCTACCTATCTATCCATCCATCCTCTATATCTATCCATCCTCTATAGCTATCCATCTATCCATATCTATCTATCCATCTATACATCCATCCATCCATCCTGATAGGGTTATTGTAATATACTTATTTGGTTAATATTAACAATTAAAAACAAAACATTTTCGTAACTTGAATATTAATGGAAATAAAATAAAATATACTTTTCATTTCAGCTAGTTCAACATTTCTCATTTGAATATAGTTTAACATGATGTACTAAAATAACTAAAACTGTACAGTTAATAAACACTATATACACTATATATTATTAAAAAAGAAAAAACTAAAAATGACAAAAACATGCAACGAAATTAAAAACTTGAAGGAAAATTAAAATGGAACATATAACTTAAAACATGAAATAAAATTCATAAAAAATATATAGGCTAAACTTTTTTTTAAATTTGCTAAAAATAACAAAAACACAACAAAGGTCAAAATTAATATATATTTTTATTTTTTATATTAAATTGTATAATTGTTTTGTGTGTGTGTGTGTGTAAAATATGACCAAGATTTACCCATTTTTATCAACTTTCTGTTCTCTTGTTCTTTACATGAGCATCTTTGTCCCAAAAACCACTGATCTGAAGAACTTCTGAAACATCGTGATTTTATTTTATTGGATTTATTAATCACAAAGAACCATAAAGTACCTCAATAACCTGAAACAGACAGGAAAGCTTCTTGATCAGAACAGGCTTCTTTGCTACATCTGAAGAGCGGTTAAGTCGATCAGATGAGCGCTGTAATGTGTCTAAGAGCCCATTACATCAGTGAATGAGCCGCTGGATCGCTCTCATCTTATTCCACATATTCCTTCTTCCAGTGCGGTGAAGCGCTGACATTTAGCTTGAATGTCTAATTACGTCCCCCATTAGCAGAGCTCTTCGGACGGAATAAACATGAAGTTTTTGTTTCCAGAGATCGGCAACCTTTATAAATAATTAGACACCTGGGCCGCGTCTCGACTGGATGTTAAACACACACACACACACACACACACTCTTTTGTTCTGCTCAGAGTCACATCAAGTGAATAACGCTCCTGTGAGAGGATGAAACCATAAACAAATCAGAAATAATCTCTGGCGCTCACAGACGTGTTTGGAGGAGGAGAACGTGAGCGTCTGAGGGGATTGCGTGCATTTCTGTGGATTTATGCATTCAAAACCATCATTTCGTCTCATTTTAGTAATAAAACACCTTCACTTATTAATACCAAGTAACAGCATGTAACTTTTCAGCATGAACCGCTCACTTCTTAGCTAGCAGACATTCATTTAACGTTTGTTAAATCTATCAAAACAAAACAGTTACGGAGGATGTCGTATGCATATGAAGAGCTGCTGCTGTTGCTGTGTTTTGATGGTTTGTGATGTCACTTCCTGTCAGTGCCGGGGGAAGTTCCTCTGGATTCGATCCAGGCCAGTGTTTACGAGGACAAGATCCTGCTGAAGTGGAGAGAACCGGCGCAGACCTTCGGAATCATCACTCAGTATGAGGTGAACACACACGCACACACACAGCCAGCCTAGCAACCCCCTAGTAACCACACAAATGCCCTAGCAACCCCCTAGTAACCACACAAATGCCCTAGCAACCTCCTAGTAACCACCGAGAAAACTCTAGCAAAAAATCTATCAACCTCCTAGTAACAAACAACTCAAAATGCACATAAATTGCCCGGCAACCTTATAGTAACAACAACAAAAAATCCCATATCGACCACCCAGAACACCTTAGCAACAACCTTAAAATTTAACTGCTCTAGCAACCATCTAGCAACCACAATACTCTAGTAACCTCAGAGTAACCACACAAAGTGCCCAACAACCACTTAAGAATCTCAGCTGCCTAGAATACCCTGGCAACCTTTTACTAACCACACAAAATGCTCTAGTAACCACCTGGCAACCTACTAGGAACCACCCAGAACACCCTGGCAACCTCCTTACAACCATTCAGAATGCCCAGAAACCACCTAGCAATCTCATAGTAAGCACCTAGAACACCCTAGTAACCTCAAATCACACAAAATGCCCTAGCAAACCCCTAGTAACCACACAAAAGGCCCTAGCAACACCCTGGCAACCACCAACAACACCTTAGCATAGCAGTGCTGAGTTTTGCACAAGCAAACATTTCAGACATCGGAAAATTCATTTTTAGTAAATGTGTTTGAGTTGTTTCAGAGGTTCAGGATTCAGCTTGACGAATTCTTCACGGTTTTGAGCGTCTTGACTTCGACAGATTATCTAATAGTTAATAGTTACTTGAGACAAAGACTGGAAACTAGTAGATCCATCAATCCAGAAAAAAACAAGAACTATCAAAGTCCAGCTCCTCCCCATGAGAGAGTGTGTGTGTGTGTGCGTGTGTGTGCGTGTGTGTGCGTGCGTGCGTGTGTGTGTGTGTGTGTGCGAGTGTGTGTGTGCGAGTGAGTGTGTGTGTGTGTGTGTGTGCGTGTGTGTGCGTGTGTGTGCGTGTGTGTGCGTGTGTGTGCGTGTGTGTGCGTGTGTGTGCGTGTGTGTGCGTGTGTGTGCGTGTGTGTGCGTGTGTGTGCGTGTGTGTGCGTGTGTGTGCGTGTGTGTGCGTGTGTGTGCGTGTGTGTGCGTGTGTGTGCGTGTGTGTGCGTGTGTGTGCGTGTGTGTGCGTGTGTGTGCGTGTATGTGTGTGAGAGTGTGTGTGTGTGTGTGTGTGTGCAGTCAGACGGGACTAACCGTAGACTCGATTGTCCATGAGCCCGCAGTGACGTCCTGCCTTTGATTTGACAGTATCAAAGCGCTGAAGCTGAGACTCTCTGACGGGCCGTGATATCAAAAGGACAGTTTGGGCTTTTTTCCTCTTATCAAGGGAACCCTGATCCTTCCTCTTCTTCCTCTCTCTCTCTCTCTGATTCCAGACATTCTGTACTTCTTGTAAATTTCCAGTGAGATTTGCCGTCCTCAGATTCTCTGTTCCTGACCGATCCACTGCAGGAACATCGTTTGCACCGGATGACGTCAGTCAGATGTTCACACATCCCCGCTTTCTCATTTCAGAGTGGGAATAATTTAAATCTAATAGCAGTGTGAGGTTATGAGAAACAGAAGCTCGTGATAGAAAATCTCAATATCAAAGGTCGCAAATCAAAGTGTTTCGAGTACGACGCTTCATTAATGCCGCATAATGAACAAACCCTTCCAAATATAAGGAGAAGACACTTTGCCTTTCAGATTCCTGCCCTGATCCGTCAGAATCACAGACGTTATTATTGATTTATTTATTTATTTATGGCGGGCTGATAATTGGAAAGGGCCTTGAAGCATTTCGGATATAATAGAGTCTAATTTGGTGGAACTCAAAGCACTTCTTGAATCATTTTGTTTGGCGACACTGAAATTCATTTGTGTGATTCTAACATGAACGCTGATGTTTGTGTTGTTCTCATTCCCGCAGATCTCGTATAAAGCTGTCAGCTCCTTCGACCCGGTGCTGGATCTCTCTAACCAGAGCGGGAAGGTGGTTAAACTGGGGAATGAAACCAGCCACGTGTTTCTGGGTCTCTACCCCGGCTCCACATACTCCTTCACCATCAGAGCCAGCACCGCCAAGGGCTTCGGACCGCCCGCCATCACCCAGGCCACCACCAAGATCTCAGGTGTGTGTCTGCAGCAGATGCTCTAATCTGGAACAGCATAGAAGACTATGAAGTAACTCGATGGACATGCAGATGGCCCTGGCAACCTCCTAGTAACTGCCCAGAACACCCTAGGAACAACCTAATTGCCCTAGCAACCCCATAGTTACCACCCAGAACACTCTAGCCCAGCAACCAGTTAGGAACCCTTTCACTAACCACATAAAATACCCTAGCAACCACCTGGAAACCTCCTAGTAACCACCCAGATTGCCTTAGGAACAACCTAATTGCCCTACCAACCCCATCGATGATCTGGACACCTCCTAGTAACCACCCAGAACACCCTAGCGAACTCTTAGTTATCATAAATGCCCTAGCAACCTCCTAGTAACCATCCAGAACATTCTAGCGCCGATCAAACACTTAGTAACCTCATTGTAACTGCTCAGAACATTCTAGCAACTTCTTAGTAACCACACAAAATGCCCTAGCAACCACCTGGCAACCTCCTAGTAACCACCCAGAACACCCTAAGAACCAACTAACTGCCCTAGCAACCATCTAGCAACCTCCTAGTGACCATCCAGAACACTTCAGCCCAGAAACCACTTAGTAACCTCATAGTAACCACACAAAATGTCCTAGCAACCACCTGGCGACCTCCTAGTAACCACCCAGAACACCCTAGCAACCTCCTAGTGACAAAACATGCACTAGTAACCTCCTAGTAACCATCCACAACACTCTAGCCCAGCAACCACTTAGTAACCACACAATATACCCTAGCAACGACCTGGCAACCTCCTAGTAAATGATCTCCTAGTAAAATAAAATTTTTTTTACAACTATTTGAACTTTTATGATGCAAGAACACTCCAGAAACATAATATACAGATCCGAAAATGCGATTCATAGCCTTCAAATTATACTGTACATAAATATCTGAATGTACACTGGTTTATTGACTTACGTTTGTGCACTTGTGTAATGACTGTAGTGATTGAGGTGCTGTTTTAAAGCTTCCTGGTGTGAAGTTCTTCCCGTCTTGACTGTTGTAACGTCTTTTTTTCTTCTTTGTATCAATGCAATTTATCACGTTTACAATTAGTGCAAAATGCTGCAGCCAGATTACTGACACGAACCAAGTTACTTAATCATATTACACCAGTTTTAGCTTCTTTACATTGGTTACCTGTTTATGCTAGGATCGATTTTAAGATTTTATTATTGACATGTAAAGCCTTAAACGGCTTGGCACCCATGTACTTAGCTGAGCTTCTGAGACCGTACGAAACAGGGAAGATGTCTTAGATCTTCTTTTAAAGAATTGCCGGCAGTTCCAAGAACTAGATATAAAACTAAAGGAGATAGAGCATTTGCAGTGAGGGCCCCAAAACTTTGGAATATTTTGCCCGAGGATATTAGAGCATCTGAATGTACTTGTACTTGTATTTGTACTTGTATAGATGTGCTTTTAGTATTTTGTGCATTTTGGGTTAGATCTTTTTTGCTTTTTAATATATTGTGTATAGCTCTTCATGAATGTGTTTTTATACTGTGTAAAGCACTTTGTGCATTGTAGCTTTAAAAGTGCAATATAAATCAAATTTTACTTGCCTGCTTATTTACTTTGCAGCTCCGTCGATGCCGGCGTACGATCAGGAGACTCCTCTGAACCAGACGGATAGCACGGTGACGGTAGTGCTTAAACCGGCTCAGAGCCGAGGTGCTCCTGTCAGGTATGATTCGTTTAGTTTTAACTAAATTCCGTTCAGTTTCTCTGGCTGTTTTTATCATTTTTTCCTCCTGTATTGTTTGTGGATTCCTCTGAGTGAGCGTTGTTCTTTGAAGCGGAGAACAAAGTGTGTGTGAGTCTTCAGAGCCTCGTCCCTGATCCGCTTTCATGTGTTTCTGACTGTGTCACCGCGGCCCCTGACTGTCCCTGCGCTCGCAACCGAGCCTGCGAACACAATCACCGGCTCTCATTAATAAACGCTGCACGTCACTCGTGTCCGGCTCATATTTCAGCCCAAATCAATAGAAAAATAAGATATTATATATTTTTCATTCAGTAAATTAAAATGTATATTATGATATTTTAGCTAATTTAAACAGTTCCGTAACCACAGATGTCCCTAATATTTGATGTATATATTTGGAAATATCTGCAGCACGCCATTATGCACCACTCTTTTTGTTATATGGATGACAAGAAATTAAAAAGTAAAATTGTTAGGCTGGTCTGTCTGTTAATGCCACACTTCTGGCATGGCAAATAAAATCCAGTTTTAACAATGAAAGACTTCAGAATGAGATGTGAGTTGCTAAACATTCGTTTCATTTTTTCTTCTAATATTAATATTTTAATTTATTGTATTTCTGCTTTAATTTAACAGAAATGTCTTTAATAGTTTTAGTTATCAAGTTTCAGCAATTTCAAATCATAAATGATCATATAATGTTTATATTGAGCTCCAGATGACGGCTGATTGTTGAGAAAGGTTTGATTTTTCATGACTGTGAGATGCTGTGTTTGTCCGCTGGTTCTCTGAAGTGATTTAGTTTAATGGTGATGTAATGAGCGTCGGCGTCTATTTTATTTAATGTAATGTAATTTTATTTTATTTTATTTTATTTTATTTTATTTTATTTTATTTTATTTTATTTTATTTTATTTTATTTTATTTTATTTTATTTTATTTTATTTTATTTTATTTTATTTTATTTTATTTTATTTTATTTTATTTTGCTGGTTTGGATATTATCATTTACATCATCATGTAATTCATTACTGAATGTGACAAAAGAAGAAACATTAATGGAGCCATTTTGGGGATTTTAGACATAAGATTTAGAGTGAATTTGTACATATTTGAAAATAAAAATATTATTTGCAAATATTTTTAAGTTTACTCTCCAGTTTACAGTAAATTCTAGTTCTTTTACAGTTCTTCTTCCTGTTTCTCTGTTCACTTTGAATCTCTTTAAACCCTTTAATTATTTTGTAACACCTTACAACAAGTTCTCTTTTTTAACATTACATAATAACAAAAACTTTAACAGCATGTTATGCTGTTTTATGCATTTTTATGTTAAAAATGTTCATGTTCACAGTGTATTAACTAATGTTAAAAGATAATTTTTGATTTTACAGATGTAGTAGTAAATGTTGAGATGAACTAAGATTAATAAATGCTAAGTATTGTTCATTCTTAGTTCATGTTATTTAATGTTAACCAATGAAAATGAATAATGGATATGATGGAATGTGTTTTTGATGTTTTTTAGGGTTCAGTCGCTCTAATATTCCAATCTTTTATTTTTGTCTGTGTTTGTGAAGGTTTGTGTCTCTGTGTGTCTCACAATCACAGACAAACATCATTATTTACTGCTGCATGTTCAGCATGTTTAATAAGAAGCGGATAAAACTGTAACATCTTCAGCATAAGAATATTATATTATACTGTAAAGCGCTGCTTTAATATTGGATATCCCGGGACTGACGCTCAACTGTATGCCGCACAAATAACCGCAGTAAATTACAGTCATGTTTACCGCAGTAATCTCTGCTGGATTACACTGCCAGCTCCATCATTTAATCTGATTTGATCTGATCAAATCATGTTTTTATCTCGTCAACATTCCCAAACGAGATATGAAAACAGGAGAAGCAAGATTTGATTATTGTGATCCGCGTCTAATCTCTCTGTCTGTGATTGTGTTTCTGTGTTTTAACGAGACGAGTCGCTGGTCTTTATCTCACACACTCACACAAACACATACACACACACACACACACACAC